ATAGTTAATTTATAATTAATTATAAATTAAGTGTGTGCCTCGATATGCATACCCACTCCAACGACGTTCCCTCGCCAAGGTTTAACCTCATAAACTTTGAAAACTCATTCTTGTCACTTGTAGTGCGGCGAACAACCGCCCATGAGCCATTTTTATTAGCACGGTGTGAGGGAATTCATTGTGGTGCTAGCGGCAAGACAAGTAATCCCCCTAAAGTCCTATTTTTGGCATTTGCAGCGCACCAAGGGATTTATGCACGCTTTTCTTAATCTGGTGGGAGGGAACTCGGTGCGGTGCCTATGGCGAGGCGGGCAATCTTTGTGCGTGCTTTTCTTAGCATGGTGGGAAAAATATAAGTACCCATATGCAGGGGAAAACTATTTTTTTTTTCAAACAATTACTTTTGAAGACCAATGCATGCCTTTCTTGGCGTGGTGGATGACAAAGACTACAACCGTAGTGTCCCACGACACTGACCATGCACGTCTTTATTTACATGGTGGGCAGACTAAGACTCCTGTAGTTTCCCCTAAGCAGGGGAGACGCCAAGAGGCTTGCAAAATTCAGAGCAAATGGAGTACCTAATTGGAACTAAGTGTAGGGGATTTGGACTCAAATAAACTTGAATCTAAATAAATGTTAACATGAACCATGACTTGAACAATCTGAACACAAATAAGAACTTATATAATTTGAACGAGGACTTGAACTTGCTGATTGAACATAATGGACCTGAATGAACTATAATGAACTTGAATTTGAAATGAGCAAAAACTTGTGGGCATTCGACTTGAATGAGAAAACTATAGAGAAGTTAACGTCATTACATGGAGCTTGAACATGCATGTATTATAAGGAATTGAACTCAAATGACTTTGAGCTTAACTTGAATTTAAGATGTGAATAACATGAATGATTGATAAGGAACTTTATTTGAACAATAACACAATATTTTCAAATGGAATGTTGAAAAATTACAAGGTCCAACTTAAATGCAAATGAACATTTGCAAGGCTGGTGGTGAATAATAGACTTGCAAACTCTACTTGCTTATAAGTAGTTGTAGATAACTTGATTGAATTCCATGCCATGATATGTTGCTCTCAAAGGAAATGCTTGATTTTCTTGCAAACAATAATCAATAAGGAGATATAAATTGGTTGCAAAATAAATGCGCAAGAACATCCTAATAATCGATGCAAACCATAAACAAGTGATACTAATCAATAAGTGACACTTGTATCAATCTTACAAGAACATACATTAAGTAACAAATTAGTTCCATGAACATTAAAATGAAACATACAATCAACACTGTAGATTGATGACAAATGTATGTGGAAAAACTAGCAATGAATGTAGTCAACTTGACAGTCAACAACAATCTGCAAATAGATGCATCAACCTCTTGTAGATTATTAAGATTTACATGTAGTGAGTTCAATGAATCTCCAGCAAACACAAATGAGGGAAATGTAGTGAGCACAACTCACCTATGGATCAATCATACAAGCAAATGCATTAATCTCCTACAAGCAGAAGAGTTTGATAGACAGCATGTTGTGAATTCAAACATACACACAACTAGCAATGAATAATATATTGCAAGGACGACCGATCTTCTATGAGCATAGATATATGTATGAGACACCATCTGAAGGCAAGAGTTCTATATCAGTAATATATACAAAACAGATGCAGACTTTTGTTACAAGAGGTGATGAATAATTTTTAAGATGTTAAAATTGTCGATATCAATCATGTATCATATCCTATTGCCCCAGTGAATCGTACAGTGGATGCAAATAGCCGCTACTGTCGGCAAAATGTTCTTTATAATGATTCCTTATATGCTTAATAATATGCTTGTGGATGGTGATTGGTACCAAGGTAGAGAATGCTCTCAATCAACAACCACCCAGAGGAAGACAACTATGTAGATCTCTTGCGAGAAAAGTTGATCGATTGATGATAAATGCAAACTCATACAAGTCATTGTAGAAGACCCGCATATACCCAACATGCAATCTAAAAAAATATATAAAAGGTAATAGCCAAAGCAGTAAAATTGTAGCAAATACAAGCCAGCACAAAAGCTCATGATGAATGCAGTTATCTATAATAAAGTAAGAGATTCGTTAGTGCACTATAATCTACCTATAGAAAGTAATAAGTAGTACACGACAGTCTACCAATATGAAATGGGAAAATGACTATAGTGCTACGTAATGCCACCGGATCTGCAACATTTTTACAAGCAGACAAAAGACATGAATGAGCATCGAAATATAATGCTACCTTTAAATGGCGGTCACCCACACAACAGATCAATGTCAAAATATTATAAAAATGCACCCACACATGCATCGTAATATGCATGCAAATAGATACACAAAAGGGGGCAAGTTCAATAAAAAAACCTTTATGGGCCCCTGTGAGCATATTATAAATGCACACTTTACGACTAAGGATGCTACGCGGGTTAATAAAAGAACATAGTTCGAGCCCGGTCTTTTTATATGTATAGATAGGAATCGACCTGGCTAAAATTATTAAATAAATATATGGTTAAGATGTTCGACCAGAATAACTATTTTATACATTCATATAAAGCCTTTAAGGACAATGAATAGATAAATTCATTAATAAAATCATAAAACCGATGAACCTGATCCCCTATTATTAAGTTGATAGGGTTGACAAGATTTAGTCAATAAAAATGCCTATATAGCCAAATTATGGTCATGTTGAATGTTTATCTTAACCAGAGGGGTTAACTCCAACCATTTCAAATGCCTCTAAATTCTCACAAAATATAAATTATTTTCAAATGACCCCAATTACTCCGATGATGGCCGTGTTGAACAAAAATTCTCAACCGGAGGGGTTAATTCTAAATATTTTCAAATGCCACCTCAAATACCAATTCAAAATTCAAAACTCAAAAAAAAAATTCAAATATTTAAAATTGAGATCCAACAATCAAATACTTAAAGCATAATTCATCCACCATCCATAATAGTTTGCCGAGGATAAAAACTTGAAAACTACTTCAGCTCATAAAGAGCTAATATCTGGTCAAGAATATCATTTGGATTCATTCTCAAAATAATATCCTGCTAGTAAGGATGTGGTAGACATCCTCTGACTAGTGATTTTTCCACCAAATAGAACTGCAGGATAAATAATTATGACCCAGGGCCCTCTGAACCAAGTGGTTTTATCTCTAAATGGCACCACGAGATAATGGTTATGGTTGAATCCAATAAGTTCATTAATGACATTAAATCCTTGAGATATGAATCAATAGGATATAATCGATAGGGCACTGAGCCCTCTGTTAGCTAAGGTGGATTCAAATTTCTCCACTTGGACGAATCAACCCATGGCTACCAACAAGGATCCTTTTATCAGGTTGGGTCGACTACCTCCTCTGACCAAGTAGAATAGGGACCATGATGGCCCGGGATGACGACACCATGGGATCTTGATTGGGTACATCATCCTTTCCCCCCACTATATATTTTAAGTGCAAGGTGGTGAAATTTCAATTTAAAAAAATAAATTTCCAACACCCTTCAAATTCCAAATGTCCATTCCTGTTACTATATGCCAGATAATATGTATTCTAAAAATGTATCTGATTGATGACTAGCCTTAATCGAACATTCTCTCTCATTATCAGGAGGGCTAATTAACAATAGGAGCTTAGGCCTATAGGAGACCAGAACTCAGATTATTGTGTCCCCACAAAATGAGGGCGGAGTCTCTGAGTTGTGTCTTATCTACAAACTCATCTGCCTTCTAAAATTTACCTCGAAACTAAATATGTTAAAACTCCCCCCGAAGAAAAGGAGGTTGGGTTCGAATTTTTGGAGCCCACAATTTCCTTATGAACAAAGAGAACCCAACAAATTTCAAAGAATAGAGTCTTGCATTGAATGCTTTCATATGGACTTTAAATATAATGAGTTTAATGCAATTCAAAATATTAGGCAAGATAATTAACTTTTCTAAAAAGATTTATATATATAGTGCGAAATAAATAAGCTTGAATTGATGTCTTACAAATAAAAGAAAAAAATGAAATAATAATAATAATAATTATAATAATAATAATAATAATAATAATAATAATAATAATAATAATAATAATAATAATAATAATAATAATACAAGGCCAACCCCTTAAGAAAAGGATTGCTGACCATTTTAATTATCACTTTATGAAAAGTATATCTCTTGGACATATTCCATATGCCATCCCATCTTGCATATAAATAAATGTCTAAGGAGCCTTCTCTTAAATCTACATTTCTTTGATTCCTTATATTTTATTGTTGATAGTTTTTATATACTCACTTTTAGCTCACAATTGAGATAGGGAGTATAGTTGAGCTGTTAAAGGATAAGAGAATCTTTGTCATTGGTGCCACGGGTTTTATAGCAAAGAGTATTATCTCACAAAACATTTCACTTATTAATATGCATTTAACCACATGAGATTTTGTTTTAGGCTTCATTTCCGACTGGTTTCTTTTTTGTACAAAATTTTAAATTTTTGAACTAGAAAGCTGCTTTAAGAAGCAGTAAGAAAATTGGTCCAAATGAAGCCTTAGTCTCACTTACAAAAGTTAAAATATCTAGTTCTAATGCATGTTGTTGTTTGTTGCTTGGTTTGAAGTCTTTGTGGAGAAGGTTCTTAGAGTTCAACCTAAAGTGAAGAAACTATTCCTTCTTGTGAGAGCTGGGGATGCCAAGTTGGCTGCAAAGCACATGGAAAATGAGGTATAACTACCTTTTTAATATTTATCATTATTGATCATATTGAGCCGTTAGACACAACTTTGACTCGAGTTCAAATGGGTTGATCAAGACTTGAATAAAAAATTTTGACTTTGCTCTAGCAAGGCTAGGATTTATGAAACTCGTTTAATTTTACATCAAAATTTCACAAATTCAATCCAAACCTATTATTGTTATAAAATATTTATAGAGAGAGAGTGTGTGTTGATTAGAGTGATTAGTTAACAAATTTCAAATTTTGAACATAAATTTTAGCCATGCATGTGACTTGTTATTAAGTTTTATTTTTTATGGAAATTTATTAATAGGTTACTTAGATAGGCTAATTTTTTAAATTTAGGGGAAATTATATATTATGTGTATAATTCCCTCTTAATATAACTTAGTGAAGGACTGCATGTTAATTAGCAATCATTGGTTATAACTTTTTTTTTTCTACTCTTGCTCCTTTCTAATCATTGAAGGAGGCTTTCCACCAATGCTTTTTAGTTTAATAATACAAAAATGTTGCTAAACTTTGAATTATATGTTGAAAAATATGAAATTATTAAAAGCTGTTATAATAGCAAATTAGAGGTTAAAACCTTGCTAGCATTACTAATATTAAATATACTATATATTAACTTATTATCATTAATTATATTTTTTGCTCCATAGCAATACTAATAAATATAATATTACAATATGAATGGATAATCACTTCCTTAATCAGGTGTTTGCAAAGGAGCTTTTTGATGTTCTTAAAGAGAAACATGGGCTGGACTTTGATTCATTTATATCCAAGACGGTTTATTCAGTTGCAGGAGATATTATGTATGAAAATTTAGGGATTGAGGATTATAATCTTAGAGAAATGTTATGGGAGGAGATTGACATTGTTGTCAATGTGGCTGCAACTACCAAATTTTATGAGAGGTGATCAGAAAATTTAAAAATTCAAATATCGTGGAGAGAGTTTGAGGTTAATTAATATATATTACATAAAACTTTTATTATTATTTTATTTATTTTTATTTGTGTGTGTGTTTTCTAGATATGATTTTTCTTTGAATATCAATACATTGGGAGCTAAACATGTATTGGAGTTTGCAAAGCAATGCACAAAAGTCAAGATGCTTCTCCATGTATCAAAAGGATAGTAAGTGCTAACCAAAAATATATTATCTTTTGATATAAATTATAATGAATTATTAAAATTTGTGATATTTTCATTATTTCTTATTTTATAACTTTATATTAAATGACATTTGTAAGTCTGACTAATATTTAATTTATCATCACCCTTATTATGATTATATTTGTGTTGATTAGCTCATGTAGCCGGTGTAAAGGAAGGTATAATATCAGAGAAGCCATTTCACTTCGGTGAAGCACTGAATAAGGATTTGTATTTATACATCGAAGGAGAGCTAAGACTTGTTAAAGATAGAAAGAAAGAACTCCATGAGCAAAATTCAACAATAGAAGCTAAAAAAATTGTTATGAAGGAATTGGGAATTCAAAGGTTTGACATCCCTTTAGGTTGACATAGGCTATATTTAGAATTTAATAACTTTGGTCAATTTGATAAAATATTTTGAGAATGTTTGTTTCTCTAACACTTTTTGTCATTTAATAAAATTTTCTTAGTTTATATCACTTGTTTGAATTGATGGAATGTTATAGTTATACTTTCTTAAATGATATTTTGTACTTAATTGTTGGCATATATGTGACACCTTAATCTAATGGCATAAACTGTTAAGCTATTTGTGAAAAAAAAATCATAATTATCATTCATATATTTAATATTTAATATAATATTTAGTTAGTACTAAATAAAAAATATTGCATTTCATAGATAATATTATTCTTTGAATAATAATGTTATATAGATGAATTTTTCATTCTTAAAACAGTAAGCCATAGAACCTTTTGATATAATATTTTCTTATAAATTTTACCATGTTATTATAAGCTATTCAAATTAGTTGTTTGTTATTTTCTTACAGGGCTATGCTATCTTAAGCTAGTAAGTTGTTTTATTTGTTCTTGTAGGGCTAGAATGTATGGCTGGCCAAATACATATGTATTTACAAAGGCCATGGGAGAAATGCTTCTAGGACATTTAAGAGGAGACATGCCACTAGTTATTATGCGCCCAACAATTATAACAATATTATTATTATTATTATTATTATTATTATTATTATTATTATTATTATTATTATTATTATTATTATTATTATTATTATTATTATTATTATTATTATTATTATTATTATTATTATTATTATTATTATTATTATTATTATTATTATTATTATTATTATTATTATTATTATTATTATTATTATTATTATTATTATTATTATTATTATTATTATTATTATTATTATTATTATTATTATTATTATTATTATTATTATTATTATTATTATTATTATTATTATTATTATTATTATTATTATTATTATTATTATTATTATTATTATATATTATGGATATTAGTATGTAATTCTTGATATGTGATTTTAACTTGAGATTATTATTCAAGGGATAGCGGTTAACAAAATATTATTTGGTGTTGTGGCTTCCTGTTTAGGGCTTGCGCTTGATGAATCTAGCTCTTTTTGGTTTGTTTACTCCACAATACAATAATTATTGGAGGTAATATAAGCGTGTGATCTGCCTTGCTGATATCTATGCACCATATACATTCTTTAAAGGAAGGTAAGCTCAAGTTTATGAGTAAAGAGTAATAAATAATTATATTCATTATATTTGAGATATCGATAATATTCTTATTCCATATTGTGATTGCTTGCAGCTTTGATGATTCTAACTTAGAATGTTTGAGAAAGGCAATGGTGAATAATGATGAGATGAAGTTGTTTGATTTTGATCCAATGCACATTGAATGGGATGATTACTTGATTAACATTCACATTCCAGGTGTAATCAAGTATTTGCTTAAGTAGAATATTGGAAAATGATATTAGGCTTCTTATATAGCCTTAATTTGTTGGAGAGCATAAGCATTAAATGATTGATGCGTGCTTTTGATTGTAGTATTTATTGAGCAAACCTAGCTATTCAACTTAAATTTAAATTAATCACAATTGTATTTCCATCAACTACAATGGTTAATTTATTATGAAATGTATTTGTGGAATATAAGTCAATAAATATGTTTGTTATTGTGGCCTATGAACTTATAATTTTAATTCTTGATGCATTATAAGAAAGATTGGGATGACTTGAGAGAGGGTCCTTATCTTGGCTACTAGTTTTTGTTTGGCGAGTACCACTTATGTTTAATTTTTTCTTTTCTTATAATGAATTTATTGCTCCAATAAGGTTGATTGTAATTAAGAAGATGACATGAATTGTTATAGGATCCTTGTTTAGCTTGATTTTTTTAGAACAAATAGTATTTGACACAAGTTCAAATGTTAGATTCACTTACATGCTCAGTTGGGACTATTTGGTTTAAAGTTAAAAGGGTGTGAAATATTACAAATGCTGAGGTTTTAAGAATATTGTTGTTTGGTTTGAAGTTTAAAATTTTTATAAATTTGAAATTCACTCTATAGTTCATAATTGTGTATTTAGAACTATTCAGATTTGGGCTAGTTTCAAATACACCAAAAATTCATCATCTTATCTCCACCCACAATCTGCAGTGATCACCAACTACTGCCACCATAGCTGACCCCTAACCATGACCATCGTCATCTTCCACCATAGTTGTCATGGGCCACCATTGCCATTGACCACCAGTCGCCACCGTTGTCATCAACCACCATTCATGATCATCATTTTTGAGAGCCAACTTCCATGGCCATCATCCACCACCTACTACTAACTAACCACTAGCTGTTGACCACACGGTAGATCGACAATGTAAGAGATGGAGTGGCAAGTTTCAGGATGAGACCAGTTCCACTAACACACAAATAAATGTCGGACGATACCCAATCAAAGAGGGAATATGAGTATGAAGGGGATAGCCAAAAAGAAAACCAAGATTATTTAAGATACGTGACACGGACAAGTGCAAGTGTAGATATTGTAAGGAGACTCAAATCAGAGCAATGGGTGATTCCTCGTTGATGTCAAAAAAAGGGAACCATTTGGTTTGTTTCATGAAATAGTAGTTAACAAAATACGAGCGGTGATTAAAAAACTCTACAATAATCCATATCACTACTAAATTTTATCAGAACATGTTGAGGATCCAACAAAGTAAATGAATACTCACTGTAAAGGTTTAGGTAAAAAAGATTTTTTTGATCAAATCAAGAGAAGGCCTACGATTAGGAAAGTTTCCAACCAAAGAAAACTCCAAAGGGGTACCAAGTGCCAAAACCTCTTCTTTCAAAATCCAAAGCAATGCCAATCCACAGAGTGTCAAAGTTTTAAGATCTGGAAATAGCATAAAAGATGAAGCCCCCGAAAGGACATCAAGAAAAGATCTATAGTTAGATTTCCTGTTCAATAAGACATGATCGTTCAATTTCACTTGTTTAACCACCATTGGACAAGACGAAGGTGTAACAATCAAGGAGTTGCAAATAGGGCAAGCCAAGAGAGATGAGAAACACCGGGAGAGGAAAAAGGAGCAACCATTAAGGGTAGAAGAAACCTCCCTAAAGGGAAATGGTTAGGGCAAAACCCTAGCAAAGCTCAATATATTTTTTGACCCCTCTTACCATGCTAAAGCTTTATATATATATATATATATATGAAGAGAGAGAGAGAGAGAGAGAGAGAGAGAGAGAGAGATGATTATAATGATTAGTTAACAAATTTCAAAAATCAGACTAAATTTCAGCTCTACATGTGACTTATTATCAAAATTTATTCTTTTTAAATATTTATAAATAGGTTACATACATATATAAGTTAGTTTTGTAAATTTAGAATTTTTTTTACATGTTATATATGTTAAGGACGGGAACTTAATTAGTAATCATTGGTAATAACTTGTCGTTTTCTACTTTTGTACTTTTTTAATCTTTAAAGGAGGATTTTCACCAATATTGCTCTAAGTCTAATAATAAAAAAAATGTTGCTTTTGAATTATATGTTAAATAATATGAAATTATTAATAACTATTACAATAGCAAATTAGAGGTTAAAACCTAACTATCATTACTAATATTAAATATACAATTTATTCATTATATTCTTTACTCCATATCTTTAATAATAATTCGAATATTACAATTTAAGCCGTATATCGACCTTCCCGATCTTCGTATTAAAAAATTTAGTTCTTTTCGGTGTTGTTGAAGCCTTTCTTTTAAACTGTTAAGCAAAATATGAAAATAAAAAATCAAAAGAGAATAACTCAGGCATCAATTAATGCCTAAGTCTCACTTGTTATATTCAAATATAATAGTAGAGAAGTTTACATGAAGAGAAGAAGAAATAGATAATGAACTCCCTTTGTTGTTCTCGCCCCAGAACTTTCCCTTCCTCACCAAAATAGAAAAAATATAGCCTATTTTATAGTAGCTTACATAGTAGAAACAAAGTTAGAACTAAAGAAACTGATTGAGTAAAACTGGACCACAAATGAACAGGTGCTCACTGTCCCTGCATGTTATTCATTTGAGAAAATGCCTTTTTTTTTTTTTTTAGAAAATGCCATAATAACATTGAACTGCTATTCATGTTGAATTGCATATTCTAGGTTTACTCAATGGATGATATTTTTCTTTTAGTAATATTGTGTGGACTTTATTTTCTCATAAACATATAAGAAAAAATAAAAATGTTGACCATTTTTTTAAGTCTATCTTATACTTCATTTGAAACAGCTTTCTTACTGATTTCTAAAATGACTTTCTTGTACAAAAATTTTTAATACAAAAAAGTTTTGTACTAGAAACCTATTTTAGATAGCACCAAAAAAATTATCTAAAACTGAGCCTTATTATATTTTAGCTTAATGGCTTTATAAAAATCATTTCTTTTGTTTTATATTAAAAAACATGGGAACTTTAAGGTTCATGAATTTTGAAGTTGTTCACTCACATAAATTATAGTGAGTTTATCTCCATAAAATGTAGATCTATTCTAGTCTTTAATTTTATTGACCAAATTTGTTTGATGAATTCTTTCAAGGATTTAAAATTAAAATTATGTGCACCATGCATACATGATTTTGTAATTCTGACCAGCAACAATAGTGCCACTTTGTGGAGAGATTATTGCATGGGATCACCGGACTGTCCGGAGGCCAATCAGGATACACAATGTCACCTGATACACAACGTTACACAGTAATGGTACACAACATATTGGTGATGTGCCATGTTCTGATTGGATTTCAGACAGCTTTAGGTGATCTCACGTAATCATTTCGCCACTTTGTGATCTCTTGTGTATAAATGCATCCATTTAGATGCCTCGATTTGCATGTCACTTTATTTTGATAAAATATATGCAATTGTTGGAGCATTGTTTCATGTGATATTTTGTCTAGCATAGGATATTGTACAATGATATTATCGTATAAATTGAGAGCTGCATGATTTTAAGGAGGCAGTTGTTCATTACCATGCATTATTTTATGTATCTACTTTCACATATTTATTTCCTTGCATGAAAACCTCATTATGTTAAATATTGGCCAAGATTATTTATATCATTATGTTAATACATTCTTGTGTTCTTTTATGTTATTTACAAGATATTTATATAAATGTCTCACTCTATGAGTCATAATCCTTAAATGAGGCCCCTTTTATTTTATTGAGGTGTGTATGCATTCCTTGGTCTCCACTCGATCCATTTGATCATAGCCCTTGAATGAGAAATAATTTCTAGAACATTTTACACATCTCCTTTTATGGGTGCGCACACTTGCACGCATGAACTAGTAGTGCTATCAATATTTGACATAACCCAAAACCTGACTCGGACCAGATCTAAAAAATTTTGGATTTGGGTAAACCTGTTTGCCCTACAGGTCAAATTCAGGTTTTAGTTTTTGGCATGTTTACAAAATGGGTCAGATTCGGGTTGAACCAAAACCCAAAATAGACTTGAATTGAAGATGCAGCCAGCATCCGAGCATTGCATTCATTGACCCACACTGATGTACTTACACCCCCCTTCCCCCCGCGCTAACAGCATGACCCCTTTGCCTGAGCTCTTGAGAGTGTTCTCGATCGGCCACTTATGCACAGTGCACTTGTGTTCGCATCTGGATTTAGTGCACGACATCTGCATTGGTGGCTTTATGGGTTGGGTCAGGTCAACCCGATAATCCTTGTGGGTTTTATCCTAGTTGGAATTCCTGATAGATTTGTAAAATTGGGTCATTAGGGTCAACCCATTTATACCCAGGTTCATTCGAGTTGGTTATGAAACCGACCCATTGAACCATTTTGACACACGTATGAACTACTATTTTTCTTATTCATATATAGACATTGTAGGGAGTGACCTCAGGTGTTCTAGTCTCACCTTTGGGTGTGAGGGACCCCTTTGAAAAGTCAGCAACCTGTTCATATGTAATTTGGATATGGTCAGTCCAAATCTAGATCTTTGATTTTAGCCAAAGCCCCTTTGGGTCCCTTTACTGCCATTATGAGCTACATATTTATGGCATATCGTGACACCATCTATATAGATATTAATTTTAGATATTTAGGTGATTTTAGAAGTTTCTCAAAGCTAATAAGAAATATTAAAAGATGCATGATAAATTATTTTAAAATAAAAAATATTTGAGATTCAACTCCCCTTTTAGCTTGTATTAAATCCCATAAAAATATTAAATTTTAAAATACACCTGGCTTAGTTATTAAAGATCTTTTGACCCCTTTCTACTTTAGCTCTCATTCATGGGCCTTATGTGACTTAGCATACCCTCTATTAGCTTAGTTTTAAGTGACTATAGACCTTGGATAATGATTATCCTAGACAATCTTCTATGATGCTTGGTTGGATTACCTAATGACTT